GCTTGAAGCTCCGCCGGCATAGCCTTTCTGACCCGTTGGCACCCTTGCCATTAGCATAATGAATCGTTAATAGTGGAAAATAGACTCACTTAACAAAGCATAATGGCACAACCGCGCTTTCATATGCATAAAAAAACTGAGCCATCACACTTCTCGTAGTTGAAAAAAGTATCGCTACTACTGGCTAAGGTTCAGTCGCTAGCATGGGATCGCCGCGAAAAGCTTGCAGTGTGCATTATAAATGACAGATATTCGTTGACAAATCCATCATTAATTTTCGTCATGTATGAATCAATAATCAACTAACGTGGATGGAATTTAGGCAACGGTTGGATTTGAGCCGTCGGTGACAGTAGCATTAAAATGTCGGAATTTTTCGGTGAAAAAGCTCGAGTAGTCCATGATCGATCCGGTAAGCCATCACGAGCACGATCATCCATACGCATTGGCGTGAACATCGGCGTCTGAATGAAGCAATACAAAAAACATAAATGTTTAAATTCGTTTCATTTCACCTTCCAACAACTTAAGACTGATTCAAATTTGAATTCATTTAGACGTGTGATAGACTTAGAGAAAATGCCTACTTCATATTGGTGGAATGCAACTTATTGTTAGTGCATTGATGGAACAAATTGCACCGAAAGTCATTCAGAGATATTCCGAGCCTCGAACCGGGAAAACCTTCTACAGTTGATGTTTTCATTGGTGGCTATCTTACTGACGAAAATAGAACATGTTTCTAGGTTTCTATGATGAACAATAATCTAGCAACCAAGTTTTGTATGTGACAGAATGTGATATGCATAGGATTAAGGTGGAATTCCGAAAGGTGCTCTACCTGATCCTTCAGTAACGTTGCCGGTCTACTGAGCGGCTCCACTTTAGGCAAATCGTCGGTTTGGAAGAAAGATTTTCCAACATGTCGGTCAATCCTGAAATTGTACGGCAAGGTTATGGCGCAACTGAATTCAACAAATCGCACCCAACTTTTAGCTACTGAAATTCTCTTTTTTCGCTTCGTCGAACAGTCATTGATGAATTCAAGTGTAATCGTATAAAGTTGGCATCGTAAATGACACGGCAAAAGTGAAAACTACATATAACTAACTCAGTTTTCGGGAAATTCTGATTCACTGCTTCTTCGACTTTTCGTTCGTTTTTCTCTTCTTTCAGTGAACGATCTTCGAATTTTGGTTTCTGTTCATTTTCAGTGTCGAATTTAGTCAATGATCGGGCACTCGATGAGAGTAGCCTTAAAATGTCCGAACTTTCTGCTGGTTTCGTCTTTGTGGTTTCGTTCTTTTCTTCATCATCGATCGGCTTACTCTCTCGATTGATACTAAACTTACTCAATAAACGATGCATTTCATCCAAACCACTTCGATCTGAAATCGCGCTGCATTTTAACAGATTTCATTACCTTTCCATTTGAACAAGCACAGTTTGTTGCCACATATTTGACTTTTCGAGAAGATTTTTCACATATAATTCAGCATATTCAGTAATTAACGTTTCATTGTGACCAGGCAAATCATGAATTCAGTGGAGTTGATTGGCTGCATGAAAATGTGGATGAGAATGGAACGGAAATGCTATGCAACGAAAAAATAGTTTCCTAATTGTAAGTTCAGGTTTCTCACAATAATGATGAATTAGCACTGATGGTCTCACCATCCAACTGTTCGGAAATCTTCAAGCTATTCGGTGAGAAATAAAGAGATGGTGGAGCGCTCGGAGATAAAATTTTTTCGGTTCCCTTCTGAACGTACTCTTCATTCCGATTTTCCACCTCATTCACCTGAAATATTCAGTTTCACCGAAGTGCACGAATGCACTGATCAATTGCTTTGAGTGTTTGTACACAAAAAACCATTCATTTCATTTGGGATATAATAAACTGAGTTTTAGAAAAGAAAACTCTAGCTTGAATTCAAGTCTCAATCGAGAATGAATGATAGAAAGTCATTTCGATGTTGTAAAGAAATGGAATATGCATAACTTACATCAATAGTGAGTGGTTTTGGTTCTTCGGGTGGTGGACTGGATTCCGTTGGTTCATAATGTGGTGGAGGCTGAAACGTCTGGAAATTTTAGCACAAACTTCAATAAAGACAAACTTCACATGTTTTACAGACATGCTTAATTTGAGCTCGCTGAAATACGCAGGAAGTATTTGTCGAGCGAAACTGAAATGAATTCTCCGGAAATTTATTGATCACTCACAGTGGGCTCGGGTAACGAGAGTCGAGCAGTATCTGGATCAGGTGGGCTTATTAGTTCAGCGACTCGAACAGGCAACGGATGACCACTCTTGGCACTTGACTCGTCCTTTGGTGGCGATTGCACAATGATTCGAGCTGATCCCTTCAATTGTGGAAGACCCCAGCTGTCTTTTGTCTCTGGTTCGATCACCTCTTAACAAACGGTTTGATACGTATGTGAAAAAGATAGTAGTACTCCGAATGGATAAACCTATTGAACCATGATGATGAAGCCACTATTTTACTCCACTGACGCAGACACAGCGTGTAGCCTATGATCAGTAGTTGCCTTTTACATGGGTCTCAGGCAAGATTCCTAGTTCATGATAGTGCTCATTTCCCGAGAGAAGAAGTTGTCTAAAACACTCAAGAACTAATCGAATGGAGTTGCGAATTTTCTTACTTTGCTCTTTTTTGACCGCTAGGAATGCGGGTCTGATGAAGCGATTACGATAAGAACCGTCTGATGGAGTAATATCTGCAAGAACTTGGTCTCGACTCTGGCTTCTTATTCTTCGCTGCACACGGATGAATTCTGGTTCATCCGATTCGTATGTGTGGGGAGGTGTTGAATAAGAACGCGTTGTGCGATTCCAGATTGCAGTCTAAATTCAATGACCATTGTAAAATTAAGATTTAACTTTACGATCAACAAAAGTATCAATCACTTTGATGTTATTTTTCTTTTCCGCTGAAGTAATACAATTTCTAATGAAAATACAGTGAAGAATAATTGATAGAATGGAAATGTGACAATGATTTTAGGAATGATTATGAATTCATACAGATTTTGTGGTAGAAGTTGGCTTAGTCTGTTGACTCATAACTTCGAATTTCTCCCTTAGTGAACTTATTTGCACCCGAGGTGGAGGTTCCTCATGGGCAGTGTAGTGAGCAGCTGGAAACTGTGCTGGCAGCGATTTGCTGTCATCGTACATGGCATCACTTCGGTGCTGCATCGATTCGACCACGAATTTTTTCGACTGCTCACCCTTTAAAAAAGTGTTCAGTTGATTTTTACATGGATTCTTAAAAAGCAAGAAGGAGAATTTTCTGGCAATTCTTGAAAATTTTCTGTGATTCCAAAAACATTAATGGAGTAATTTGAGAAATTCAATCAGAAGAATAACTTCTTCGGTAAAATATATGAGAAATTTCAATGCTGGTGGGACTGCGTAAGCATGCATGAATCAATAATGATAATCAATCAGCTTACCTTTTCAACTTGTGGACTACTGCTTGCTTCAACTGACGTTTCAGAGACTGACTTGTTTGCAGAGTTTTTCAACAAATAATTTTCAGGCCTAAAAACAATTTTATTGTTTCACTTTGCGATATTATTGCACAGACTAAAGTTAATATTTGGAATATTTATGGTTAGATCAAAATGAATTCTTTTAATGGTTAGAAGAGTGTTATTGAAACTCGAGCGAGTAAAATGCATCATTTGACTGACCGATAGGGTGTTTGATCACGGTTTTCGGCTTCGTCAGATAGAATATCGTCTGCTGATGGAAATCGTTTTCTCTTTGAATGCGGAGAAATACGAACATTCTGCGTTGCGATATTCGACATTTCAGCGAATTTATCTCGTAACTTCTGTACAATGCCTGGTCCATACGTGATCTCTACAATGAATCCTTCTTTTTCATCAACACAATACTCACACCTAGTATTTCAATTACTGCTTTTTTCACTGTTTCAATTTGATTATGAGATTAGTGTTGATCACAAAACATCTACTGAATGCTTTTAGACGTCTGAAATGATTTGTTTGCAGCTTATAATGCTCAAAATCAGGGCATTCCCCTAAAATATTCAAGAAACAACATTATAAGGTAATCATTTATGTTGCCGTTAAAAAAGAAGTTTGATTCCAATAATATGTGAACCTTGTGACCGGAACATTCGTTCATGCTTATGAGTGTTTGGAGTAACCCTGAAAGGTTTCGGGGAGTAGCTAATTAGAGGACATAAACTTGGGTCACTGAGAACATTACTCTCAAAAATGACTTGATCGCTTCTTTGATACGAAAACTCCTCGGTACGATACTCCTGATTTGACTGATCCCAATTTGCACGCATAAATTTCTTTCGCCGTTGCTCAAGTTTTGGTGACGGTGAATTCTTTCCAGTCGCACATTTCTTTATAACAGATAATTGCACAGATTTGATTGGATGTTTCGAGGCTTTGGATTTTTTTACGATGACTCGTGGAGAATGTCGTTGATTCTTTGGCGATACACAATATTGCTGCAGATATTTTCGTTCAGACATTAAAAGCTCTTCATCGACACTGTTTTTCGTTCGTTTTTTGAACGCTCTCTCCGCGATGCTGCATTGAGGGCGGCTTTCAACTGAATGCGATTCGTTCTGAGCACCACCTGTTCGGCATTCAGTTCGATTAACAACGATGTTCGTTGCTAAGGGTTTTCGATTCATCTCGTCACCGTTGGCTTCTTCAGTTGTTGCGCAGTTTGTTGACGACCAACAATGATCCAAGACACTCGGACGAGTTTTCGTTTGTGTATTGCAACGTTTCATCTGTTGGTGTATTGGTTTTGGCTTGAGCGATTCGAACTGAGTGAATCGTCGCAAAACAACGCTTGCATCATGATGGACGTAGTCGTCGAATAGACAGCAGTTACAGTGAGACGTTTTTGTGCCAGAATACCTTGTAGAAGTTTGTCTGGCACCATTGATAAGCCACATCAATTAGAGAGACAGTCAAAGGTTGCTGATTAAATTCGATATACTGCAATCAATTGCACATCAGTATTCGACGATGGCTGAGAATTGTTGAGGAAATGCGAACAAACGGAAAAGAACGCTGAGATTGTTCAACGAAACGCACGTTAAGCAATCAGTTGCAGCAAATTCCATGGAAACCGTGACCGGATAATCTGCCTAAAGACGTTTTGTTTAAGGACTTTTTGCCTAAAAACACATTGTCTAACGAATAGTTCGCCTAATTGACAGTTTTTGATGGATATTTTGCCTAATAGGCAAACTTCTCTTAGGCAAAACGTCTTCCGGCAGATTGTCCGGGTACCCATGGAAACATTAATGTTTTGATCAAGCACAAACATCGAAAGGAATACTAATAAATAGTGATGAAAAGCCTTATTCTCATTTTCTTGACCAACATCTGAAATCAAACGATCCAACCAAATAATTCCGGCTATTCAGAGAGGCAGATTTCCTATCAGCAATACATTCATCAATAACTCTCGCACGTTTTTGCGCAAATTTTGGAACCTCAAATGTATATGAACAATGATCGTGGGCATGAATCGAATTTTTCAAAGACATATTCAGTGAGATCGTTCAAGTAGTTGAAAATTCGATTAATGTGAGTCGACTTGAATTTTCAAAAAAAAATTTCCAAACAAGAATTTCTCAGTCGGTCGTATAGGGAAACATGAGCAACCGTAATCGGAGCAGTGAAACGAACAGCAACAAATAACAAACGTTGCAAAATATCACTGCGACTGACATAAACTGTATCCAATATGAACTTTTTGGCTCGTGTGAAATGTTTCTATACTAACGGTGTTGAATTCCGCAATTAATGAATAATTACAGTTGCATCAACAATGTCATCGAACTGCCACAAAAACGCTTTGATCGATTTTCGCCGAGCGAATTTCACATTTCATAAAATACTTTTCCCATTTGTTTGATACGATATAATGATGATTTATGGTACGATGATGAAATGATCCGTTACGTCTGCTTCTGCTGGTCTAGAGCAGTTGCGGGTGTAAGAGTTTAGATACACCGAGACAAATTCAAACGACCAATTCATCAAAAGGTTTGGCTGTCTTCAGTACACCACAGACAGCAAGTTCATCACTTTCTGCATGCAATAAAGCATAAAGCAACTTCATGAACTCTATCTGAAAATGTTTCCATGGTCATATCCTATCACTTCAACCTAGAATTTGTCTAGAAGATCCCAAAATACATGGCAACAGTAATTTCATGTGAAAACAGAGGCGAGATGAAAATCTCGAACAAAAGACGGGAACCAAGAACACTCTTGAGAGGTATTTTTAGGTCACTCAAAAAGTATGTAATAAGTTGACT